TAGATAGCAAATCATGTTGGTAAAGCAAGTTTCTCTGGTTTCCTGGGCATCCAAATCCAGAAATAAATTGCTGACTACTCACTTTCTGAGGAGACCCCATTCCTTACCCAGATATGGCCTCTCGATTTCTCATAAAGGAAGATAATCACCAGTACCAGAACTGGGGCTTACAAAACGCTCATTTATTACCTCTCTATTTGCCCTGGGTCCAGAGGAAACTTCATGGTCTCTACCCTTTGAATAGCAGGTAGGGAGAAGAGGGCAGAGTGCAAAGAACAGGAAATGTGGAGTGTGCTACAGAATTTCACCCAAGGGGGATTAATAAAGTTTCATACAGACATCCCAGAAGGCAAAAGTTCTTGTCTGTGGAGAGGAAGATGAAGAGATTCTGAGTCAAAACAAACAAACAAAAAACAGGTAATAAGACATTGGAAAAGACTTCATGCAAAACAAGTAGGTAATATAGCATTCCCTGAATTCACCTATGGAATATGGAACTTAAGTATGTAGAAAATATGAGAACTCTTCTCAGTACAGCTGTGAGGAGCCAAACAAGAGAAGCCAAAGCGAAGTCATCATGGTGAGAAGGTCCACCACCAACCTGCTTTAATTCATAGGTCATGCTTCTGAAAAGGTGCTTTAGAAAATTAAGCAGAACATGTTGTGAATTCCTCTTTAGTTCAAAGCTTCAACCATTCTCCAACCTGCCTCTTTCATAAATGGTTCACAAAGACAGCTTGTGTTCCTTCTCCTCTGCTGTAATTGCTAGTGACTGAGCTGGACTCAGAAAATGTAAGTCAAGGTACCTAAGTGTAGGGCCCACACATCTGCATCTCTTAAAACCCCTGAGGTATTCCAGTGTGCTGCCACTGTAACAGAACGCTCACCTAGATTATCCATGACTAGGAAATAAGCAGGAGGAAGAATGAAACACTTGACACAGACAAAGGTAAACATAATTTTACTGTTCACATACGAGTTTAGTTTTTTATGAAAAAAAATTAAAATTTTAGGGCCAAATTATATGCTACTTTTATACACTCCTTTCCATTTATTTTTTTAAGTTTATGTATTTATTTTGAAAGAGAGAGAGAGAAAGGGGAAGAGGCAGAGAAAGAGAGAATCCCAAGCAGGCTCTGCACTGCCAGCCCAGAGCCCTACACAGGGCTCAATCTCACCAACTGTGAGACCATAACCTGATCTGAAATCAAGAATCGGTGGCTTAACCCACTGAGCCACCCAGGTGCCCCACATCTTTCCATTTAAAGCTCAACATAATATTGTGAAGAAAACAGAGTAGCCTTCTTTCCTTCCTTCCTTTCTTTTCTTTCTTTCCTTCCTTCCTTCCTTCCTTCCTTCCTTCCTTCCTTCCTTCCTTTTTCTTTCTTTCTTTCTTTCAGAGGCTCAGAGCTGCTTAATGACTTGCCCAAGGTTTTGTGGCTGGAAAGCACAAAATGTTCCTAGGCTCTGATGCCCACCTGTTTCACTCATGTGTGAACCATGGAAAATACTCTTTTCGTGGCCCCATTCACCAGCCAGTGAAGCCAAGTTCCTCCTTAATTATTGGCCCTCTTTCCATGACTCTGTCAGTAACCCAGCCAATGGTCAACAGGTTTTTTTTAGCATTTACTATCAAGTTTCAATAAAAAGGAGCAATGATATGTTGAAAAAGTGAGAATCAATGCCACTGATTAAGAAAATGTCCTCAGGGGCGCCTGGGTGGCGCAGTGGGTTAAGCGTCCGACTTCAGCCAGGTCACGATCTCGCGGTCCGTGAGTTTGAGCCCCGCGTCAGGCTCTGGGCTGATGGCTCAGAGCCTGGAGCCTGTTTCTGATTCTATGTCTCCCTCTCTCTCTGCCCCTCCCCTGTTCATGCTCTGTCTCTCTCTGTCCCAAAAATAAATAAACGTCGAAAAAAAAATAAAAAAAAAAGAAAGAAAGAAAATGTCCTCAAATTTGCCTTCCAGACACTCAGCTTTAAAAGATGAAGGGAAAAAAATCTGTATCTGACTTGATTGCTTATGAAGAAAATTCCTGTAAGTGTGAACACTCCTTTGAAACTGTCAACATAATAATAATGTTAATATTGACTCTACTTTTATTCTGCTAAGCATATAAATTCCCTTAATCCTCATAGCAATTCTCCATGAGATAAATACTCTTCATAAACCCATTGGCATAAACAAGGTTAGGTAACTTACTCTAAATCATATTAATTACTAATATTTGTCACAGACCTGAGGAGCGAGCTAAAAAGCCGTGCTACCCTCCGTCGCTTTCCCAAAATTATCTTACTAACAGTGCTTATCAAACCTTTCTAAACTCCCAGCAAAAGGAAGAGTCCAGTTCCTATCAGAATTCAAGTGTGTGATTTTTTTTTATTTTTCATAACTTTGAAAATTGCTGAAAGTCATGCCCCTCCTTGTTTGCTAGTTGTGCTGTTCAAGAGCCTTCTCCGATCTCACTCGAGACTTCAATGATACTCACATCCTTGAAGGCCCTGTTCCTGTACTGTGGTTCCATTTCCCGACTACCGGTTCTCACGTTGCACTGTAATTATTGGTGCATTTTCCCCCAACTACTCCGTAAATTTCTTCAGGGAGGGATCGTGCGTTTTCATTTTATTCACTCTAATGCCTCTCTTTGTGCCCTACTCAGATCGGGAGGATGCAAATTTCACTAGCTATAGAACCTAGATAACCATGTGCTACGTTTAGGGTTTTTAAATTAATTCTATAATCCAATTCCATTAATGAGAAGGCAGTATGATGTAGTAAAAAATGCTTATATAGTCATTAAATAAATTTGGGTTGGAGAACTTGATAACTAACCAGGAGCAACTGACAAGAAAACAATTATTTTATACAAAATCATGGGCTCTTCAATTAGTCAACTTCTTAAGTATTTCCTTCCAATGTAATTCTAGTTTAGCTTTTTATTCCTCAGCTTGTGCTTCAAAAAAAAAAATGGGAATGTATAAAATTTCTTTTTTTTTCTTTCTTTTTAAAATGTTTATTCCAGGTAACATACAATGTTATATTAGTTTCAGGTGTACAATATAGTGATTCAACTTCATACATTATTCAGTACTCATCATGATAAATGCACTCAATCCCCTTCACCTATTTCACCCAACCCCCAATCCACTTCCCCTCTGGTAGCTATTCTATAGTTAAGTCGGTGTCTTGGTTTGTCTCTTTTTCCCTTTGTTCACTTGTTTCTTTCCGTAAATTCCACGTATGAGTGAAATCATATGGTATTTGTCTTTCTCTGATTTACTTCACTTAGCGTCATACCCTCCAGATCCATCCATGTTGTTGCAAATGGCAAGATCTGAATCTTTTTATGACTGAGTAATACTCTATTGTATGTAGGTACCACATCTTCTTTATTCATTCATCTGTTGGTGGACATTTAGGCTGCTTCCATAATTGGACTATTTTAAATAGTGCTGCAGTAAACAGGGGTGTGTGTATCTTTTCAAATTAGTGTTTTTTTATTTGGGGGTAATACCCAGTGGTGGAGTTACTAGATCATATGGCAGGTCAGTTGTTTTTTGAATTAAGAACAAAAGACATACCTTTATAGTCAATAACCCAAATAAAAGAATATGCATCATGGAGAGGAAGGAGGAGAGAAGAAAAAGAGGAGGGCAAAAGGAATTGAGCAAGAACTAGAAAATAGGAAAAGAGAAAGCAATGGGGTTGGATTATGGAGAAGTCAGCACCAGAGTGAAGGAGAGAGCACAAAGAAAAAGTTCAACATTTCCTGTGTTTTCCAGTTTTTTGAGGTTTTCAGTCCCCAAGCACAGGAGTCTGAAACTCACTTGTAACTATCTGCAGATGACTCCTCTCCCTATCTGGCACTCTTTCTCTCTCTGTCTCTGTCTCTCTCTGTCTATGTCAAGCAGGACACCTCTTTAGTAGAGCACTTTCTTATGCAACAGAAGCCCGAGTTTTACTGTAAGAACTTTTTAAAAGATAGCTGTGTAACTCTGTTTTCTTATAAGAAAGAAAATATAACCACAAGCCCTTGTATTTTAGAAAATGTTTTCAGCCAAAGACTAGTTCTGGTATCTTAGATAGACGTCTACACCTCTGAACTAAATGAAGGGAACAAGAATGTGAATGTCTGTGTATGTTGCAGTGAGTTTGGTGGGATAGCCAAGGCCAGCTATATAATTTGTGGGGCCATGGACAAAATGAAAATGCAGGGCCCCTTGTTCAAAATTAGTAAAAATTTCAAGTTGGTGACAGTGGAGCACTCAAGCATGGGATCTTTCTGAGGATGATGTCCCGTGCAGCTGCACGGATGACATGCCCATGGAGCCGATCTGCAGAGAACTTTGTCCGGTGGGGGCAGCTGGCAGTCACAGCAGGAAAAATGCACAGGTAGCCAGAACGTTGTTCTGGTAATGAATGACTATCTCAAAGTGTAGACAAGTCATAAGCTGCTGGTGGTGACTGAGTTTGAATGTTATTAGAAATAGAAGAGTGTAGCCATGCAAGAGCAAGAAAAGAAAGAAAGATTAACAATGTGACTTTACATTTTGCCAGCCAGCTTTCATCCAGGAGACCTACCTGGAAACCACAGAGTGTCAATTCTTACTTAGTAGTATCTCTTTCTTCAAATAAAAACTGATACTAGCCATAGAACTTCCCTAAATAGTAGGTATGCTGCATGAATGTTGGTATGAAAGAGCCTTAGAGCTTTGAAAGCCAAATAAAATACTATGGATATCAAAAGATGTCTTTGACTTTTAATTAAGCATGATTCTTTCTAGTTTAGCCTGTTAATTGATTGAGCAAAGGAAGCAATATGCCTTATAATGTCTGCCTAACCTCCCTTAGAGGGACATTGTGAGGATCACTTACAATAAGACATGCACTGAGACCTTATAAACTATCACCACTACTACAAGTAGAGGCAGTGTTGTTCAGCAGAGAAAGTTCTGGAGCCAGAATGCAAAGACTTGCACATACCAACAACTCCGTAACTTACCACCGATGACCTTGAAGCAACTCTGAGCCCCTCTGAGCCTCAGTTTCCTCTCCTGTAAGACAGAAATAGCAACTTTCTATTTAACTCAAAGTGGCATAATGTGCAAACATTATCCTGTGCCGTGTTTTTATTAAACTCTAAAGTGTTGCACAAATTTAAGCCATTTTTTATAACTTGGCATTGTCAAGGTCACCTCTGATGCCAAAGAATTAAAGCCCAGAGCCATAAAACTCCAATCTCTCAGAGATTAACAACAGAAGATGAAATTGTATTTCAACCCTATGTAAGAAAGATCTATGCCCATGATTACAGAGGTAAATGGCAACATAAATAAAGCATTTCCTTGAGTGTTTTTGTTTATCCCCCTGTGTTTGATCCTTATGGTCATCTACACTTTATCAGCAGTAGTACACACAGAAGGCAAAGTAAACTGTATGTGGGAAAGGTGGCCAACCAGTATTTTTCTCATGGTGCCTCACATAGGCTAGACCTTGTCAAGCAGAATAAGCAAATGTTTTCTGCTTCCTGCCAAATACACTGGGCTTCAATCCCCAGAAATGTTTTTATACACAGTATTTACCCTCAAGGAAATTTTAAGTCCTCTGTCCAGCTTCCCACATTTCCACCCTCCCTCCCGCTTCACTACATCACTCATCAACCCTCCCTTGGTGCCCACCCTCAGCCACAGCAAGAAGCAGCAATGAAGTAAGCTAGAAACAAAATGGGCCCCTGTAAAGGGCTGGAGTTTAATGGGAAAAGCAAAGAAACTGCAAATCAATAGGAGTAATGTGATAAGATGCGTACGGAACTGATTCCTGTCTTCCAGGCAGGGCGCACAATAGAGGTAGGTTGGGGTTATCTTTTACAGAACCAAACTAAAATGGAGTCATGTATGTCAGGGGAACAATGGAGATGGTCAACACAGGAGCGTAAAGGAAACCTAACCTAACCTTGCAGGAATTTATAACTCTTCTCAGATATCAGCAGAGAACACTAGTCAAACCCTAAATGCCAAATCTATTCATGCCATCTCTGGACTTCCTTGTTCCCTTGTTTAGCTGCCCTGAACCAAATAAGAAAGAAGCCCGCTGGGAAACCAATCAGCTGAAAAGCCAAATAACTTCTGCATTTACTCCCCGCCCCCCAAAAATCCCTTAATCTGGAAACAACCCAGCTCATCGTTCCTATAGCTCTGAGTTTCCTGGCTTGCAGGTTGAAGCCTTGCACTAAACACATCTTTCTGCTTTGTTTTATTCAGTATGCAAAGTTTGGTTTTCGACACTTTATCTCGGCTTCCAGCTTTACATTTTTTTTAATGTTTATTTATTTTTGAGAGAGACAGACGGACAGAGTGCAAGTGGAAGAGGGCAGAGAGAGAGGGAGACACAGAATCCAAAGTAGACTCCAGACTCTGAGCTGTCAGCACAGAGCCCAATGCGGGGTTCGAACCCACAAACCATGAGATCGTGACCTGAGCCAAAGTCGGATGCTTAACCGACTGAGCCACCCAGGCACCCCTGCTTTCAGCTTTAGATAAGAGAGCAGAAAATTATTAACAGCCACCCAAATCCTGGGGTAAGTCACCAAGCCAGAATTTGGTGACAGACCTTTGCTATAAATTCATGTTTACATTTTTTTCCCAAAGTGGCATCTGCAAGTGTGTATTCCTTAACAACATGGTTGACTTTGTAGATTTGAACCTTTGCTATCACCTTTTGGAGAAGACCAAGGGTCCCTAACAGGATGCTGGTACCAGGTGAAAAGATCACGTCAAGTATAAGTTCTAGAGGCCTTTTAAGTAACAAAATGATATCTACTAGCAGAATTCTTCAGAATTCCAGGTGCACTGGCTGTGCTGGTCTCATCCTAGAGAAGGTGGAGTTGAAGTTCCATAGTCACTGAAGTTGGAGCTCTGAACTCCCTTTAAAAGTGAACAGTCTGTCATTTGACAGCTACCAGAAAAAAAGTGCACTTCTATACTTGAAAATCTACAATCAGAAGGAAAGACCTGGCTTGGCAGCAGTCGAATCTCTGCTCAGTACTACTTCCTCTGCAAAGTCCATCACCGTTAACCTCTCCCTCCTGTACCTTATCCACAGGCCTATCGCTGTGTGTTCACCTCATATGATGTTTATAGGTGAGTGGATCTCTGTTACAGATTCTTCAAGGGTGAGGACTGGGTCTTGTTCATTATTGTCTCTCCAGTGCCATGCTTGATGCACAGTATGTCTAAAAAATTTTCACCGAAAGAAAGCTGGGGTAGCTAGCAAACCCCATCAAAGGAAGTATAGATACCAAATTCTAGGTCATGTGCTATCTCTATGTCAGTTCTGGAACCTTGGAGAATTGTGTTCCGTCTCTGATACCATATTCTATAGCATTGGGAAACTAGAGTTTGTTCAGAGTTGGCAGTCCAGATGGGCGGTGGGGAGGGAAAATGTCTGGCAGAATCTGGAAACCATGTCAAATGAGGAACAAATGAAAGAACCGGGAATGATTAACTTGGCTAAAAGGAGGCGAAGGAAAGATGTGGTTACTCTCCTCAGATATTTGGAAAGCTGTCAAGTGGAGAAGGTAGGTGGATTTGTTCCGTGTTACCCTAGAAGGCAAATGAAGGTTAGTGATTATGAAGTACAGAGAGGCCGACTTTTTTAGCTCACCAAAAGCAAGAACATCCAAACAAACAAAACAAAACAAAACAACACTCACTTACAATGGCAGAAAAAGAGTAAACAAACTGTCTTTGAAGTGACAAGAAGAAAATGGTGTATCAGCCTGCAAGGATCCCTTCCAACATAGGGTTTCTAACTCTCTACAGAGTAAGTGCAAGTACCCCCTGGGATCACGGGCCCGGAACCCTGCTAGGGAATAAGTGATGTCACCTTCTTTGCTCGGCACCGGCTATAATAGGTAGGAGAGCACAGGAGACAGCGTGGAGCTCCCGAAGATGGAGGCAGAAGGGAGAGGCGTAAGGCAAGGGAAGTCTGATGGTTCTGAAGACAAATTCTCATGGTACTGCTTTGACTGCTGCTTCTCCGAGTCATCAGAAGCAGCTATCTGGAGTGAGAGTAATTTAAAACAAAACAAAAATATTTGGAATTTGGCGGAAAGGCACATCTTTTTGAAAGCTAATACTCAAAAGAGCTGCAATCACGCATCTGTTTTCTTGTTTGGTTTACAATTGAGGGAATGGGAACAGAGGACCCCATGAAATTGAATGACACTTCACATTGATAAGCGTTTCTGAAACAATATGGTAGCAATTTGAAGAACACATTATGCTCTCAAGCTGCATAAAGAAAGAGCAAAGAATATACTCTTTAATGCTTAATTTTAATAATGATCTTAACTTGTTACAGATGCCGCATTTCACAATGAAAGCCTGTGTTTCAGTCCAGTAATATGATAAGGCACAGCTTGTAAAAATGAGAATTGAGCTTAACTATGTTCTTGTGTTCTATTTTCCATTTATCATGTGAATCGCTTCCAAATAAGATTGTCTTACTTCATTAATTTGCATAATTACTGAAATACAGCATGGGATCCCAAATAACAAACTCCTTATAATATCATTTCAGATTTACTGTGACAGTATTTTGAAAATGACAAAAATTGATACACAATTACGTTAGGAGTAAAAGTATATAAGCTAATTATGTTGCTTTTGAGTCTTCAAAATATATAAAGAGGTTATTTGGGACAGAACAATACATTTCTGCGCTCAGATGCTGAACAGCTTGAAAACCAAAACACAACTGGCAAGTGCTGTACCGTTTTAGGGTAACAATAAGTCTGCTTTTGACAGAGTAGAAGCCAGGCAGAGTTTTGTTTTTGTTTTTGTTTTTGTTTAATGAAATCAAGACCATTGACGAAGGATGAGAAAAGTCCTCAATGAAGACTTAAAAATACCTGTTCAGATGTATTTTGATTTTGGCAATAGCACCCTATCAAATCAGCCTGACAGCCTCTGGTCCCAGTAAGAAAATCCTGACACCTTGTCTGAGTTCAGACTTTCAGCAAGTGCAAACATTTCACTCAACTCCACCTTCAGCGCTATGGGCGAGATAGAAAATGTGGATACGGATAAAAAGCCGCAAGCTATTAGTTAGCTCTATCAGACATTGTTCAGAGAGCCAAGTAGTAAACGCTCCTCTCTGGAATGGAGGCTGCTGAAAGACAACAAGGCTCATTGACAAAATAAATCCCGTGGCCTGTCTTGGGCGAGCTGATAAACAGGGGCCCCGACTGATTAAGTGTCGTTCGAACATCACAGAAACGACTGCAGAACAATAGCAGAGACAAAAACGACACCTCTTCCTCCTGCCTCCCGCCTCCCCTTATTAATCATTTTAAACCGAAAGCTTGCAAACGGCAGTCCCCAGTCCCGTTTCCCTAAGACGACATTCTGGAAGCTGCAGAGCAATGTGTTACCATTCCGCCGCCCTTTCCTTTCGGTCATGACCGGAGTAAATCTGACTTTTGTGAGACAGGAACATGATGGCTGAGGGATGGAACATAAAATACAAGTGTTTGTATTTTATGTAGAATCTAGGTAGCATCTTACTTTTTCTAATGACTCACCAAGGGACGTTGACTGCCTGAAGAAGAGAGATCTCACTGTTGTGCGGTGGCAATCTGACTAGGTAATCACCCAGATGCTGTGACGGCCCGGGTTGCTCTGCGGTTCCTCTGCCCAGTCACCTGGCTGAGGAGGAGGGCATGCCTTCCCGAACCCTTCATCTTCGTGGAGCTCCAGGAGCTTTTAGGCCTGGGCCAGATGCCTCCGGCCTGTGGCGTGAAGGAGCAGGCTCGCCGGGTTCTGTGTACCTCTAGGCCACACTCCACATTTTAGTTCATATTAAAAAATAAATCTGGAGCCGTTTAACATTCCCAAGCTGGTTGTGTGTATGCGTGTGCGCACATGTATGTGTGTTTATGTGTGTGTGCGCAACATGCAACACTTGAAAGCAGGGTTTCAGCTGGCCCAGAACCTGCCATTTCCATCCAGCTGTTGGCCTGGTGCCTCACAGCACACTTACAGCCCATATTAATAGCTCTTGTAAAATATGCCCTGTTATTTTACCCAGGCGACAAGATTCTCAACAGCTGGAGGGAACATCTCTTGACCCAACAACAGACAAATAAGATTCTTCATGTGGTTGAGGCCAGGGTGTGTGAAACAACACAACGCTGAGATCTCACCGCATCCACGGGGGTTTCCGGCCTCTGCTTCAGAGCTCCGGTGAGGGCAGCACGTGATCTCCCAGGATAGTCTGTTCCACTTCTGGACAATGGCTCCGATTGTTAGAAAGTTCTTTCCTTTTGGACTGCATCTTGCGGTAACCTCTACCTAGGGACACTGGGACTTAAGGCTCGTGTACAGAACGTTACATTCATCTGATTGAATTTTGTTTTTATTATTGCAACCACAAAGAGTTGTAGATCCTACTTACCATCTTTACCATCCCTCCCAACTTTGATTCAGCCACCGATATAACTCTCTCTCCAATATCATGATATATATCACTAACAAAAGTAGGTGAAGAGAAAAGAGAAAAAGATCAGTGCTTGTTACTTTAAGTGTATCTTTGGGTAAACACTGATCTATTAATCACCAGCTTTAGGGTAAAGTTTTCCATAGGTCCTGAAGGCAGCTATTACTATACCTATGCAGATGCTGCTCAGGTGTGGCTGCCCCATGAAACTTGAACTCACTTCAGGGCTAAAATTAGCTACCTTTGTATGTTGAGTGTCTAATACAGTGCCTGCCTCAAAGAATATCTTTCATAAATGACTGGGAACCAACAAATATTTTCTTGGGGACCCTTTGCTGATTTCCAGTGATTACTGTTTCTTTATTTATTGGGGCATAAAATCCACTACCTTAACCACCCATTTTCTACCATATTTACCTCCATTTGCTTGTTCTTATTATACATGGTGTTTTAGCATTGTGTTGATTTTCTGAAGATACCGAGATGTAATTTATCAAGCCAAACTCATTTAGAACAGCTAGTTCTGCTCACTTTAAAAAACACTTTGGAAGCCTATTTTGTGTTAGGCTCTGTACAGACACTAAGGATTTAAAAACAAATGTGACATAGCTCCTGTCTCCGAGAAAGATATAGTCCAGGGAGGGGAAATAGCAGGGTTCAAAACAATGTATATGGGACATCATGGAGAGGCCAATGGAAGCCCAAGGGAGGGGCACTTAACCTGGTCCATGGTGACACCCAAATACTCTTGGGGGAGATAATACCTGGGCCTAAGCTTGAGGAAGCAACAGAAATTAATTACACAAAAGTGCAAAAGGAGTGTATTTTGAGGGGAAAAACAGAATAAGCAAAAAGCACAGAGGTGTGAAACTATATAAGATACACAGAGGCTAGAGTATTCTAGAGTGAAACTCAGTTTGAAGAACAAGAACTTCGCAAGATGATGCTGGAGAGTCAGAGCCTTGGTCACAGAAGGCCTTGCTGGCCAGGGTAAACAGTGTGGGTTTTCAGAGATCAACAGGGAGATGTTAGAAGCAGAACCATGTGTGTTTTATGATGAGGAATTTATTATGGAAATTAGGCCAAAAGACAATTATAGGAGTTGCTGGGAAGTGGGCGTCCAGTAGGAAGTGGGAGGATCAGAAAGGAGTCAACCACCAAGCACATTCAGCCACCAAAGTGGGATCGCAAGGCTTGTGGGATTACCTAAGGAAGCTGGGCTTCTCTTCAGCGAGCCACACACCAAATGAATGGTGGTGGTCCCGAGGCTGCTGTTAGTCAAAGGGCCACTAATTGGGAAGAAAAGCTGGAGGTGGGAGGTAAGAGAACAAGTACTGCCTGGAACCTTTAATTCTGTCACCGCATCTAGTCATGAAGACCTTCAGAGAGTAACGTTTGTTGTTTCACTTCTGCCTTCCGAGTTCACAGTCTTACACAAATTCTTCTTCTTTTTTTTTTTTAAAGCTTATTCATTTATTTTGAGAGAGAGAGAGCAGAGGAGGGGCAGAGAGAGAGGGAGAGAGAGATCTGTATAGATCATGCGGGGCTTGATCTCACGAACCATGAGACCATGACATGAGTCAAAGTCAAGGGTCAGATGCTTAACCAACTGAGACACCCAGGCGCTCCACAAATTCCTCTTTTGCCCACTATAACTTGTTACATACAGAAAAGGAAATTCTAGAAGACATAGTTTAATTGAACAGTATAAACTACCACAGTTAAGAAAAGGGAACAGAAACAACACATGGCCAAGAACATTCCGAAAGAAGGAAAGACACTGCTGGTGCAACACTACTCGTCACCACTGGCCATTCACTCCCACACAACGCAATTTTTGACACCAAAAGTGCCATGAAAAACCTCTGAGGACCCTCGCATCTTTGTACCACTTGCTCAAGATTCAAAGTGGTAGAGTATCTGATGGGTCAAGCTGTGGTCAAACACCTATGCTAGCTGCCAGAGATGAGGAAAAGAAATATCTGCCCCACTTTGGCATCCATAGATTGAGACAGGGAGGGCCCTTTGTTCCATCTCTTTGGGGATTTTCTCTTAAAGTAGTAAAGTTGTTTGGATGCTGCAGAAAAACAACAACAAGACAAATAACCACACCCCACAGTCAGATTAACTGTTAGGAGAAAAACATTCCCATAGGTGCAATGAGAATAGATTTTGGCTAAGTGCTCTCTCTCAATTAGTGTTAGAGTAGGTTGCAGTAATATATCTAATTGTCTATGTCTATAACTAATATATATATCAACATTTCAACAGCATAGAACAACGTAGCCAACAAGAAGATGATTTCTTCTTCATTTAATAGTCCAGGGTGAGAGTTTGGGATAGCAGTGAAGCTCGGGGATCCAAGCTCTGTCTTCGACACATAGCTTGTAAGGTCATGATGGATATTGAAGTCCCAGGAAGCCAAAAGAGGGAGAATAAAGGAGTAGTCATGTGTAGAGATTTTATAAACCGGTCAAAATGGTGGCACGTCACTTCTGCTCGCATTTCATTGGAGAGATCTTGATTGCATGGCCTCACTTACCAACAAAAGAATCTGGGAAAATGGCCTGGCTGTGTGCCCAAAAGAGGGGAGAATAGATATTAGTGGTCAGTTATTGGTTTTTGCCATAAATTCTGCCCAAGCCACTCAGGATTCAAATCCAGCTGAGTAGGCTCATCTAGTCATAGTTTACCAAATTTTACTATAATAAAACAGATAATAAACATTATAGGTTTTAAGGCCATTTGTTCTCTGTAGCAACGACTCAATTCTGCCCATGTAATACAAAAGCAGCCATAGAATATTAAAAAAAAATGTGGGGGTGGCTGTGTTATAATAAAACTTTATTTACAAAAATAGGCAGCAGGAAGTTTGTGGCCTACAGGCCATAGTTTGTTGACCCCTGATATAATCAATTCTACTGTGAGCATTGTTCTCCTTGAGAGAGATAGATGCAAAACTAAAGCTGATGAGTTTTTCATTTGCTTTGTCAACCAGCAACATTTTGTCTCTGTCCCAGTGTCTTCCCCCCTGTCCCCTACTTCACCTTCTGCATTTACTCATTTCTCATCAAAGTTCTTTTTGGTCTCCATCTGGGTTAGTCCACCATTCTTTTTTGTCACTACCACTTATTCTCCATGGACCATGGTCCTGTTCATTTGAAAGGTGAAATAGGCCTTTATACATAACAACTCGTTTATATTTGCCTTTCTTTTGCCTCTTTAACTAAGCAAGATATCATTTGCCTCCTTCCCTTCAGTTGCAAAGATTTATCCAGGGTCCTCTTCTTGTCATGGCCCATAACACCTTCCATGTGGCCTTTGTTGCCTACCACAGTCATTTCCATGACTCTAATCTATGAACAAGAAGCCATGTATTTGGTACAAAGGTTGCAATGAGCTTAGTTGGGAGGCAGTTCTCCATGGTTCTCTCCCTTTTCTTTATATCTCAGGAACAGAGGTATTGATGACCTTTCGTTTAGACTATTTTTTCAAGGATGATGTTATACTGACAATGTCTCCCTTGACTGCAAAGGTTGGGTAAGTTTGTTCCCAATGTATCAATGTAGCCTATTATAAAGCATTTGGATTTCTTAAGTTCAATGTTCTGTAACACAACACACTCGTTGTTCTATAGGAAACAGAGCTTGGGAACCTGTACAATGCTAATACTACTGCTTTTGCTATAAGCGATCAACTATTCTTTGTCTCTGACTCAGGGATCTCATGTCTTCTGCTGGCATCGATGAAACTGTGGCAGGCCAACTTGGTAGCTGGTAAATAGGGTGGAATCTCAGCTCCTTCACTATTCTTGACAGACTACATGTTTCTAAGAATGGAGAAATATGGTAAATAAACTGGACTCGAAATTAATGTATGGTAGAGCAGAGCAGAGCTATGCCAGGTTACATTTAAAAAGGTGGCCAGGGGGCGCCTGGGTGGCGCAGTCGGTTAAGCGTCCGACTTCAGCCAGGTCACGATCTCGCGGTCGTGAGTTCGAGCCCCGCGTCAGGCTCTGGGCTGATGGCTCGGAGCCTGGAGCCTGTTTCTGATTCTGTGTCTCCCTCTCTATCTGCCCCTCCCCCGTTCATGCTCTGTCTCTCTCTGTCCCAAAAATAAATAAATGTTGAAAAAAAATCTTTTTTTTAATAAAAAGGTAGCCAGGGGCGTCTGGGTCCAACTTTGGTTCAGGTCATGATCTCGCGGTCTGTGAGTTTGAGCCCCGCATCAGGTTCTGTGCTGACAGCTCAGAGCCTGGAGCCTGCTTCGGATTCTGTGTGTCCCCCTCTCTCTGCCCCTCCCCTCTTCACATTCTGTGTCTGTCTCTCAAAAAAAATTAAATAAACATTAAAAATAAATAAAAATAAAAAGGGAAGCTAATGTCAAGCCATGACTCCACCCCTTTGTAAACTTCCATGAATGTAAAGTGGTAAGGGTAATATTAGATAACTTTGAATTTTCTCTGTTTAAAGAAATATGTAAATCACTTCCAAATGTCAGTGCTATAACTATTATTAGTGATAATTTACTCACAATGTACCTTTCAACCATGTCACAGTTCTAAGGCCAAGAAGAATTGACATAGAATATATCTGGTCTAGTATGGGCAGCTTTGAACAGGCACTGCATCAATAGAGAGAGAATTCTATATGCTGTAAAAGCAATAGGATGTAGAAAAGATGAGGCAAATTGCCCCCTGCCATTCTGCTTTACTGTCAATAAATATTGAGCTCTATCTGTGTGAAAAACCACTGTGTTTGGCACCAGGATAGGAGGTGGGGATAGAGAAGACCTTATTAAGGAATTCGTGATTAGAGAACCAAAAATCACATCATTTTAAGAAGTGGAATAACCCAAAGTCATATTGGTTTGACATGAATGAAATGTTTGCAGGAGGCCCTGGGGTTATATGGGGACAGATTTTGATATGACATAAAGGTATGTGAGAGCTACCTGGGGTTAAAGGGCAAAGGTTCTAGAGGAGCCGAGTTTTGGAGCAGTATTCTGGAATGTTGGAAAGACATACATCTTAAAAGGAAAGTAGATGGCATTTGGGGCAGTATCAGTCCTCATCAGTAGCACAAAGGCAAAAATGAGAGTCAAGCAGTAGCATAGTCAGGGAGAACCATGACTAACTGGAACATAAGGTGACCTGCGCCCAAGTCTTGTTCTGTTAGTAACTAGCCATCTGAGTCAGCCACTCTTAGCCTGTCTTTATCTGAAAATAAGGGAGTGAGTAAATTAGATGGTCTTTCTAAAGAAACTCTTTAATTCTATAATTGGCTTTGGGGGAAGCAAGAAGCATGTTAACGTGACAGACCTGAGTGTTAATGTTGAGTTGTAATGAAAATTAGATTTGAAAGATGGGCTGAGCAATTGGCAGTCAGTGAAGACGCTTGTATCGGATGTCAGGATCAATAGGGAGTCACCGCTGGTCCTTGAACAAAAATGACAAGATTAAAATATCGGTGGAATGCAATCAAAGAATATTGCCCAAGAGGGCTTTCAAAATAACTACGGTCAATCCTAGACTGTTTTTTCAAGCGTCTTATAAAAGTTACATTTCCATCTACCCAAATAAGGGTAGTGGTAATTACACTATCAATTAAATAGTTTATCCTGCACCTGTTGAAAAATTGGAAGTATTAGTTGCCTGCACAGTACAATAGAAGTGTTTGTGATGCAAAATTATTAAAATATGAAATAGATGAATCCTACATATTATTTAAGGTGCTTCCTAATCTAGGGTACTTAAAGCTGGTTGCTATATGTTTCTGAATGGTAACTGATTGGCATTGCTCTAATTATGGTTCACAAGCCAGAATTTAACCCTATTTTTAAAAGTCCATGTGCCTATTGCCATATCAAGAAACAAATACATTTTCTTATTCTGTTCCATTGTCTCATCTTCGACATTGCATCTTACCACAGTCAATTACCTCCATGAGGACACCAGAACGTCTGTAGATGCTCTCATTTTCCTAATCAATCATGGACCAGTTTAGGAGTCTGAATGTTCATTGCAGTGTGGAGAGTCCCTTGGTAGCTTATCTCATGCCTTGAATAAAAGCAAAAAGGGCCAGTTGACGCCCTGAATCTAACAGCATCTATTCCTAGAAAGGCTGGAACTTCTTGGAAATGCAGAGCAGGTCAGGCTGGCCTCAGTCATCTGAGGCTGTCATGCAAACCCCCCTAGCCTCTGGAAGATTCTTTGGAAGTAAAGACAATATACAGATTCCTAAAATTCTTTTGTGGAAGGGCACCTGGGTGGCTCAGTGGTTGAGCGTCCAACTTCGGCTTGGGTCATGATCTCACAGTTCATGAGTTCGAGCCCCACGTCAGGCTCTGTGCTGACAGCTCAGAGCCTAGAGCCTGCTTCAGATCCTGTATCTCCCTCTCTCTCTGCCGCTTCCCCACTCACGCTCTGTATCTCTCTTGCTCTCAAAAATAAAGAAACATTAAAAAAATTTTCTATAAATAAATAAATAAGTAAATAAAATTCATTTGCGGATACACAAACTAGAATACAGCTTTAAAGCTAGAATAAACAAACATTTACCAAGTGCTTCTAAAAGACCAGTTTCTTTCATGATATTATTTATTTTTATTGAGATATAATTGACATATAACATTAATTGTAGGTCACCATCACCACACATAGTTACACATTTTTTTCCTTGTTATGAGAACATTTAAGGTCTACTCTCTTAGCAACTTTCAAATATATAATACAGTACTATTAACTATAATAGTCATGTTGAACATTATGCCCTCAGGATTTATTAATTTTGTAACTGGAAAGTTTGTGCTTTTGACCACCTTCACACATTTTGCCCACCTCCAACCCTTGCCTCTGTCAAGCACCAATCTATTCTCTGTATCTGAGCTGTGTTTTTTGTTTTGTTTTAGGGAGGGATGTGTTTTTCTTCTTTTGTTTTTGTTTTTATTTAGATTCAACACATAAGTGAGACCATACAGTATTTGTCTTTCTCTGTCTGACTGATTTCACTTAGCATAATGCCCTCAAGGTCCATCCATGTTGTTGCAAATAGCAAGATTTGAATAATATTCCCTATGATATACATTATCTCTCTCTCTCTCTCTCTCTCTCTCTTGTTTTAAATATTTCTTTTAGAGAGAGCGAGAGCATGAGCAGGGTAGGGGCAGAGAAAGAGGGAGAGACAGAAAAAATCTCAAGCAGGTTCCCTGCTGCCAGCACAGAGCCCAATGAGGGGCTTGAACTCATGAACCATGAGATCATGACCTGAGCTGAAATTGAGTCAGGAACTTAACTGACTGAGCCACCCAGGAGACCCATATTACATTTCTTTATCCATTCATCTGAAGACAGACACTTAGGCTGCTTCCATATTCACAATAGTATCTTAACTCTCACATCAAACCTCATTTCCAGGATGCCTGGGTGGCTCCGTTGGTTGAGCGCCTGACTCTTGATTTCGGCTCATGTCATGATCCCAGTGTCATGGGATCAAGCCCTGAGTCTGGCTTCGTGTTGAGCATAGAGCCTGCTTAAGATTCTGTCTCTCAGGGGTGCCTGGGTGGCGCAGTCGGTTAAGCGTCCGACTTCAGCCAGGTCACGATCTCGCGGTCCGGGAGTTCGAGCCCCGCGTCAGGCTCTGGGCTGATGGCTCAGAGCCTGGAGCCTGTTTCCAATTCTGTGTCTCCCTCTCTCTCTGCCCCTCCCCCATTGATGCTCTGTCTCTCTCTGTCCCAAAAATAAATAAACGTTGAAAAAAAACATTTAAAAAAAAAAAAGATTCTGTCTCTCCCTCTGCCTCTGCCCCTCTCCCTCACCCTTGTACTCTCTCTCTCTCAAAAATAAAAAACAAAAACAAAAAACAAATAAAAAAATAAAAAGAAATAAAACAAAAAAACCTCATTTCCTACAGATGATGAAGATCAAGATATGCTTTGCAAGATGTGGGAAAACTATCTGAGCTATAGTATTAAGTCAAGGATATAGGAAGAAGAAGTAAAAGAGAAGGTTTAAAGGAGGATTTAAAGGGGTGCGGGTGGGTGAGGATTGCTCTAGTAGAAAAGATGTTTTGTAAGGCTTCTTTCAAAGAAATCTTCTCCGGCCTGTCAAAGCTTATATTCAAACTATTTACTTAAAAGAAAATACATAGCTCTGGTTCCAGGGTGACTGTGTGTTTTCCCCCCATGAATATAGAGCCCAGATTAGTGTCCTTTGTGGATTAAAAGTAGCTTCAGTGCTGCTCAGATCTGGTGGGATTTTGTGGAGAGATCGAAACTGTAGGATTTACCCCTAATTTGTGAAATCAGTATGGCTATTCAGATTTCTCTGCAGCCTAAACTGCATTGATAAATTAGAGAGGGAGGAGGAGATGGTGATATTGTCAAAGAAAGGGAGCAGAATGAGGAACAAGTTCCATCATCAATACTTTCCCTCTAGAAAGAAATTCAGATTTTTCTTCAGTTCTCTGAACCTTTGATTAGCCTCCAAAATGAGCCATTTAAAAAGCCGGGGCTAATGTTAACATTCTCCTCAAGAAACCATCCCGAGTAATTCTGAATATTTTCCACCTACATGATGTATCTACCCTTTGCCAATCTAAAAATGGTATGAAATAAGAAGTGGGTGGGTTTATTGTCATTTTTTTCCTCCATGAGCTTTTCTGGTCAAGTTGTACTCCTGACCTTCTGGCCTCTACAGCTTTCCTTTAGAGAGCAATACGTTTTTAGAAGAATGTCCTTCTAAAATCATCCCATTGGTAAAACTTAGAATCACAACTGGAGGCAGAATGGCTTTCCGGATTGGAAAACGGGCTGGTTCCCAGGGAGTGTTACAGATGAGAGCCCACATGGAAAAGTCTCAAGAGAAAATGAGAGGTGAAGAAGTGGAGACGTTGAAGCCAGACCACCATTCTGAGGAGTTTTTCCATAAAGGGAACAGGAGTTAAGGGGTCAGAACTAGAAAGGGTTATGACATTAGGGGAGGTTGATCTCTGAGGATCAGAGATCTATGCCCATGAGGATCACAGAGCTACCGAGGGGCTGTGTTCATTTTAAGCTACAGCCTTTTGGTCCCAAACACACTCTTCTATACTTCACTTTTTCAAATTTGGGTTTGAGACTCTGCAAACCATATATTTTTTCATTTCTGATTGCCCTTTGTTAAGTTCTGCCCTTAGGGGACTCAAGAGGGAGTCTGGAGGACTGGAGGAGGAGGAAGATCCACACCCCCTCCCCTCTCTAACTGTTCCCATCAGCACCTTCCAGCAATGCACCCTGGCAGTAGCTGCTCCCGGTAGCAGCAATTATTTCCAATACCTGTGTGGTTTTCCCCCCTCTGCTCCTAAAATCAGTGTCGTTGCATCCCCTTACGGATATCAGAACCCTGCAGATGATACCCCCTCCTCTGTGGTCTGAGTCTGCACCTTGCAGGGCACCAGCGCCAGCAGCAGCTGAGTCGTCCCCTTCTCAGGAGTCTCTGTGGGGGCCCCTCCCTCAAGCTTCTGACTTCAAAAGCTCCCAGGCCTTTCGTTTTTTTGCCCCCAACCCAAGGAACTGCAGCTCCTTCTGGAAGCTTGGTGTTTCCACAGTGTTCCTTTTTTTAGGCTTTTCCATCTTTCAATAATATTTAATAGCGTCCCTAAAGTAAATTATCTGTGTCAGAATAGCTTGGTGGTTTGTGTGTTCTTGCCTGAACGCCGCCACAGAGTCAGAGTCGGGGTTGCAAACCAGGACTGACCCAGGTCAAAGCCCACAAACCTCCCTGCTATACTATGCTCCCTTGCCTGTAAAAAGGTCCACATTTTATTATTTTTAAAAATGGTTTAACAAAATGTAAGTGAGGACTTCCTCTCCATAGAGCTAGAGTCTTTCTGATACATGTCCTAACAATGTTCCAGCCCTTTCCCTCGCCTCTGTATTTCTCCATCCTCATCCTTACCACCACTTGACCTTCCTTCATGTCCCAAATCTTCTGTGGTAATGTCATTTCCTCCTAGTGCTTGCTTTTCTGGGGCACACTTCCATATGGGAAGCCACTGCTCTTTGTAATTCAAGGCCCTGATTCTGAACCCCCTGTTCTACGACTGGTCTGTGAGTAGAGTGTTGGTGTTCTAACCACAGGGTAGGGTAACCCATGCCCTGGCCTGAAATTCACAGTCTTGCAAAGAGCACTAAATTGAGTGTTATAATCCAGTCTCTGCTTAGAAGGGGGCTCAATCTTATATAAAATTAACAGCATCTCTCTGGCCTCAGTTTCCTCAACTGCAAAGTCAAAGTCACAGGAGATGATCGCCGAGACTCTTAAAACATCAACATGTTTCACAGCCGAAACCCTTAGATATATGAGGCTTCCAGAACTTGCCCCGTCTCTTAGCTGTCTTCTTGATCCTGGACTTTGCAGCTAATGGACTGTTACTCGATTTCCTAAAATAATATAAAATTCTATTGAATGGGTAACAGTCCTTTGATTTACCCTAAAGCTTTCACCAGCCCATAGAAACCTTGCAATGTAATCTTTTCCATTCCCACTTTGGCTCCTTCCTGAAAAGTCTTTAAATTGTGTCTTTAGCTCACTGAACTCTAATTACTTTCTTCCTTTCCTTCATCACTGCTTAACCTCCTTCATCCTTGGTTTCTCTTTTTAACTCATCCAGCATCCTCCTCTAAAGAGCCACTTTTTTCCTCCCTCAATTTCTTACCTGTAACCACACGCATTACAAAAGTTTCCTCAACATCTTAGGGAATGTGGTTGTTAACCCCCATCTCGCTGCTGGGCCTTCCTTTCGGGAAAGGATGCCTGACAAGGGCTTCTGCAAATGCACGTGAGGCCACTGCAAAGTGTCTGTACCAAACACCTGAGAAGTGAAATCAGATCCCAGCTCCCTCACTTATCAGGTGGCTGTAAGGACTTGGAAAGCGACTTAATGTCCTCGGCCTAGAGTGTTCTTATCTAGATACAGTAATATCTACCACAGACACTTATCCAACCGTTTGTGAGATAATGGTATACGAAAGGCTATTTAGTAAGCCCTCAGTGATACTAGTTAAAAATCTTTATCCTCTCCTTAACCCATCATTTTGTACTTGCTCTTGCATGCCATGTAATTTCTGACCCGCAGTTCCTTGTAAATGATGTTTCCTTCTATTCCACCGTCCTTTGTGCCATCTCTCCCTCCTCCATTTTCTCTCCTCCCCTTCCTCCTAGTTTTCCACCCAATACTTATTCAATTCTATTCTTTAAGAAGCAACTCATGGGGCGCCTGGGTGGCTCAATTGGTTAAGCGTCCGAC